CTGTCTGTTCGAGAGTCGGAGCAAACTGACACTTCCCACACTATGCTTCCTTGAGCAGTTCAAAGTATGCCTGCATATATATTGCCAGTTATGAAGTGTTGGTTGTTGGAAAACTATAGAGCATGACTAATTCTTTTATAGGTGGTCAAATGAATTTAGAAGCTGTGACTGTGACTCCCTACAGGACAGGACCCATCATAAGCTATGGATGTTCAAGGGACGTTCAACCTCTTCAAGTCTGTGGTGTGAATGGTAGCAAAATGAGAGGAATCATTTATTACTCAGGCTACGTCCACAATAATGTGTTTTCTCTCCTTTTTGGCCTCTCGTCCACACTGAGACGCTGTTTTTCCCAAATGAAAACAGCGTTTTGAAAAAACTAGCCCGGATAGATTTGAAAACGGTCTTTTGGTCTGAAAATGCTCCGCGTCCACACTAGCGTTTTCAGTCACTTTCACAGAGTTGTGCGTCCACATTGAAACAGCTAAAGACGCTTACGTTCCAGTCCTGCGCATGCGTGAAACTCAAGACGATTCGACCTGCCTCATTTCTGTCTGCCGCTTATTTACTTTCCGGCTCTTTGAAACGTCGTGGCAAAAGGTCGAGGCAAAGCATCAATCTTTTTAAATGGACTCACAATGAGGTGGAGTTGTTGCTGCGAGTAACACAAAAGTACAAAGTTGCAAAAGTGAGTGAGAGTTAAAGAATGTGAAGAAAAGCTCTCTGCAGCACGTACAGACTGATGTTAATCTTTAATAAGGCTGTCAAAATTGAGAGCAATCAAAACAACTGCTGCCCTCCGCTATCTTAGTTTAATTGGTCACATGACTGCATCATATGACTAACATGCGTCATCGTTTTTGAAAGTCTCCGTTTTCGCCGTCCACACTGCGACGCGAAAGCACCGTCTTCAAATGTGTGTGTTTTCCAGAGCATTTTCAAAACGTTGCGTTGTTCTTCGGGAAAAACGGCGTCTCAGTGTGGACGGGAAGCCAAAACGGAGAGAAGACGATGCGTTTTCAAACGAAAACATCTTAGTGTGGATGTAGCCAGAGAGAGTCATCTGCACTGAAATTTCAGTTCATGTGTATGACAAACTACACGCTCACCAACAGTCTAAGCAGCTTGGAAAGAAACGTGTCAGGACTTCTTTAAATTTCCTTGAAGACGTTTTATCCGAGAAGCTTCTTCAGTGCTAAGAGCGATTGGTAGAGGAAGAGGATCAATACGAGGTCTGGGACCTTCTTGGGGACACTCCCAGAGGGCTGAAAATCTGGGACCAGAAGAACCTTCTCTCCCGTAGCGAGCTCAAGTAGATTTGTTTTCTTTGTTTAGCTTTCTTTGGCTTGTTATTCTCTGTTTCTCTGAGGTTTATGGCATTTTGCTGATTCAGTCATCTGCTTCAAACAGTATTTAAATAATC